TTTTTTCAGAGGAGAACCTCCTGGGACTATGATTGGACAGGCCTCTTTGGGAACATTGGTTTAACCCAGGAATCGGCCAACTTTTTCTGTAAAGGGCCAGGTAGTAAATATTTTTGGCTTTGTAGGCCATGCTATCTCAGTGGTACCTACTGAATTTGGCCATTTTAGCTTAACTGGTATGTAAATAAGTAGGCGTGGCCGTGTGCCAATAAAACTTTATTTACAAACATTGTAGGCCACAGTTTGCCAGCCCCTGGTCTCAATGATGGTCTCCAAACTTTTAGGTGCACACTTCTCTCAAATATTGTTAGTACTAGCCTCAATATTTGAATGCTTATATATCGAAAAATGTACACATATATGTATGTGTGTTATACCTTATGTATGAAATGCGTTCTGATAAAACATACATAAAAGTACAATATTGAAAATTTGAAAGGAATGAGCTAAATGAGAAGTTCATTAGAAATTCTGATACGGTCTCCTGAATTCCAGTGGGGTCACATAGGCTTGTCTGTCAGACACTTTAGAGGCCCTGGGTTAAAATACCTGAAGGTCAGGTCTTACCTCTGTTTAGAGGGCCAGGCCCAGTGCTGGGTGCTAGAGGAACACAGAGTGGACTGGAGGAAACGTGGTTTGTCATTACATCTTCAGAACATGCTCAGTCAAGTGTGGTGGTAGAGTTGCACTGATGAAGGACACTTAGTACATCCTGAAAATACTTACTGGCCTGAATGTTCAGTGCCAGCCTTCCTCCCTTGGGTGGGGACTTGGCTATCTTCTGCTTTTCCTTCAGCAGAGCCACGCGACCCTCCAGGCACATAATAGATTCTCAGTGAACATTTTCCATGAATGAATGAATGAATGAATGAATGAATGGCTCTGCCCTCCATGGGGGACCATGGAATGGGGGTGACTTGGAAGGTAAAACCCGAAGAGTCGGAATTAGCCAGACGAAGATAAAGTCTAGGCCTCTTCTCTCCTTCACCTCCCCTAATCTGCAGGTTTACGACATAAATTTAGTGAGTTGCAACCTGCAGGTTTTTTTTAATGGAATACGAGTGGAAAGAAATAGAAAGTAGCAGCGTGCATCCTGTGTTGTAAGAATCGACCTTCTTCGTGCTTTTAAGGATTAGTATTGTTTGGTGGAACTTTCGTTTCTGTTATAGATGTGTGTGCATCTATTTATAGAAACATTTGGAGTGCTGGAATTAGTGGTCAAAAGAGTTTGTAAACTGCTGGCCTGCACCTCAGCCCTCTCTTAATAGATGGTTTGCATCTGAGGTGGGACCTGCAGGCTCAGACAGCTCTGGGTGACCCTGGGTGACTGTGGCTTGGCGGCTGTCCTGTTCCAGGCTGCAGCCACCCACCCTCTTCAAAGTGAGCAAGAGGAGCCCAGGCTTGGGAAAGAAGAGTCCTGTCTTCCAGCTGTGGGCACTGGGTTGGACCAGGCATAGGAGGGCTGCCTCAGAAGGGCCTGGACTTCCAGGCGCCAGGTGGCCAGGGTCTCTGTGGAGCCCAGTAGGAGTGAGGAGAGGTGGTTGGCATTCAGGCATAGTGGGCAGACCCTGGCAAAGCCAAGCAGGCCCTATCTCTCAGAACCATATGACCCTCTTGGCTCATGCTTAAAAATTGGCATCCCAGTGTCCCATGTATGGGGAACCCATGGACCACTGTGAGGTGGGGCTGAACCCCTGTGGCCAGGTTCAAATAGGCCCTTGACTGGATGGGAGCTGTTTATTTTGGTTTAACGGGCCCAGTGCTCCAGCTATATTTATTCTGTGAAGCTGCTTGCAATCTGATCTATCTCTCCTGCAATCAGCGGGGCCCCAGGGAGTCGCCTGTCAGGTTGGTGAGGCCCCAGTGATTTTACACTCCCTTCATGTCGGGAGATTTCCCAAGTGTTGCAGTTGTTTCATTCCTGTGAACAGTTTTCATCAGGATCCATGATTTGTGCCAACCGTTCCTTTACAAAGCCCCATGGCACGGAACTTGATCCCCAATGTGGGAACGGTACGTGCAGCCAGCCTGCGTGGTCAAAGTTCCAGGAATTGTAGGGTCCAGTGAGGGTGATGGAGTTTCTTCCGGAGCAGGGCCTCGGGCCCCCCCCCTCTTCCTCCGAGGGCCCAGTGTCACAGACTGAGCCACCCAGCCTCTCCCTGGCCCAAGAGCTGGGGGAGGGCCAGCCAGTTCTGGTGTCCCTAGGCCAGGTGTGTCCCAACAGCTGCATCTGGCCCTGAGGCCTGTGGTTGTGACAAATGGTGTGCAAAGGGTGGTCTCTGTCCTGTTGACGTGGTCATGTGGTGGTTTGGGACACCTTTCTCCTTGTGCCCAGAGATTGTAGCTGGGGTAAGTAAGGCCCAGAGTGGGGGTCCAGCCCCTCTTTCACCCCAAGGAGTAGAACATGGGTATGTGGGTTTAGCTCTCTGCAGCCTGAGCTGAGGGCGTCCAAGGGCTATTTCTCTTCCACTTCACACCCTGTGTTTTTCTTTATAACTAAGATTTATTGAACACCTCCTGTGGGCCTGCCCTGTGTTAAACATTTACACGTCAAGACCTCATTTAATCTCCTCTGCGACTGTCTTAGTCCTTCTGGGCTGTTATAACAGAATACCACAGGCTGGGTGGCTTGTAAACAGCAGCCATTTATTCCCCGCAGCTCTGGAGGCTGTAAGTCCAAGATCAAGGCACCTGTAGCTTCTCTGTCTGGTAAAGGCCAACTTCGTGGCTCATGGACACCATCTCACTGTGTCCTCACCTGGTGGGAGGCGAGGGGATCTCCAAAGCCACTCGTATAAGGGCACTAATCCCATTGTGGGGGCTTCACCTTCGTGACCCAGTCACCTCCCAAACGCCCCACCTCCTAACACCATCCCACTGTGGGGTTGGGCTGCAGCTTCTGGGTTTAGAGGGGATGGAACAGACATTCAGTCTGTAGCAGCATACTCGTGGAGGGAAATGCTCCTGTTACGCCTTTTCCACGTGCTTAGAGACAAGAGGACCTGAGTTCAGATCCCTCCCTCAACTGTAGCGTAATCCTTGGGCCTCTGACCTCACCTTCTGAGCCTCCATTCCTTTGTTTATAAAAGACGAGTAATGATGTTGCTAATAACCATTGACATTTTATTAAGCTCATTATACGCCAGCTATTGTTCTAAGGGTGAGTGAAGGAGCCAGTTCACTCTTAACGGCTATAGAGAGGGGGAGACACCAGGTAAGGGAGCGTGACCCGTGTATGCTGCCCCTCCCCCAATATGCTCCCAGTGTCCAGCTCAGGGCCTGATGGGTCTGGACATTTCCAGTGAGTGAGTAAGTAGCCAGTGGACCTGGGGCAGCCAAGCAGTGAGCTCTTGTCCCTTCTCTGGTTTCAGGTTCCGGGGCAGCAGGCCGAAACAGGAAGTGCTGGGGGTGGCAGGAGGCACCCCCTGCTGGAGGGTGCGTGACCCCCTCTTTCTATGTGGGCAACCCTAGGGACAGAGACCATGGAGCCTCCAGAAGTGGCCTTTAATTTGCCACGTCTTGGTGGGCTGCCCTGATGCCCCATATCCCTCAACCACATGTACTAAAATCTTGGGGTTGACATTAGGCCACCAGTGGCCTTAAAAACACCCAAAGCCCTAATAGTGCTGCTCCAACTTTATGTGAACTTGAAACATTTTGTAAACTCCTGGGCTAAACAGTTCATACCATCCTCTGTTATGGGAATTACAGAGTAAAGGTCCGTGAATCCCGTTGAATTTGTCTGAAAAGCCCTATGACTATAAACCTGGGCCTGAGAATCACCAGATTCTCAAAAGTGTCAGACCCCAAGTCAACTCTAGATTGTGTGGTCCCCAGCCGGAGGAGAGAAACCTTAGAGGATTTCACATAGAGACCATGGGTTTGGGAATGACGTTTCTAAACTGAGGCCCAGAAACTTGGAGGATCCTGCCAGAGCCCCAGCCTAATAAAAGGCAGAGGGGTCAGGGCTCAAAGCCAGGCTGCTTGGCTCCAGAGCCCATGCCTCTGACCACTGGCCCACACTGCCTCTCCAGGCCATGGGAAGGGTTCAGAGGAACAAGAAATGAAAGCTAACTGGACCAGGCATTACAAATAGAGGGAGAGCTGGTGGGGAAGGAAGGAGCCCACCACCATCCCCAGGAGTAAGGAGGTCAGGGCAGGGTGGCGTGGGGCTGGTGAACATATTTCAGCATTAGAACTCCTGCTGTCTGAGCCTGGCACACACGTAGTGGTCACTTCACAAAGGGTCACTGTCCCTAATGGTATTGCCATTGGTGCTCACTGCTCCAGGCCCGGCAGGCAGGCCCTGGCAGTGTGCCCACTGCCTGTTGCTCCCTGCCCAGATCTGATGAGCTGGCTCCTTCACATGGGGGTGATTTGCAAGGCCCAAGTGAGAAGCAGCGGGTGGCGGGCCCAGAGCATGCCCCTGGTGACCCTGGATTCATAGGTCTCCAGGAACTGGGGAGCAGCCAGTGCGTCAGCCTTGGGGCACTGAGCCCAGAGCTGGGGCCTGGGGAGTAGTAGATGGCCCCAGGATGTCCCACTGCATCCGGCTAGAGCCCATCTCTTCTGGGAAGCCTCCTGCAGTTCCTTGTCGGCTGGCGCACTATATTCTCAGAAGGGGCCTGGGCATAACCTGGGAGGGCCTTCGTCTCCATCCTCACCAGCCTGCTTGAGAACGGGAATGTGGGCCACCAGGGAGGGTGGCAGGTGGTTGCTTTTTCTTTAATGCAAAATTTTTATCATAGTAAGATACACATAAAACCGTTCTAACCACTTGTGTGGTGAGAGGTTTTCAATACCTGGCTGGGTGGTAAGAGCAGTGGTTGCCATTTGGGAGGTGTTTGCCACGTGCCAGGAGCTCTCATTTAATTGTTAAAATAATCCTATGAATTAATAGGATGTTCCTATTTTACAAGTAAGAAAGTGGAGGCTCAGAGAGGTTCAGGGACTTGCCCAAGGGCATGTAGCTATTGAGTAGTAGAACTAGATTCAAATCCAGGCAGCCTGGGCTCCAAGCCTACTTGCTAAACCAGTACTTTCTGCAGCTTCTCAGTCCCAAGTGGATGGGTCTTATGCTCTCCGTTATACAGATGTGGAAACTGAGGCTCAGAGAGGCCAGGGGACTTGCCCAGGGTCACAGAGTTTGACAGGAAGAAAGCCTGTGAGTCATGACTATCCTGGTGCTCAGTCCCCCTCTGCTTATCCCCAGGTGGCAATGGTGGAGGTGCAGCTGGACGCTGACCATGACTACCCGCCAGGGCTGCTCATCGCCTTCAGTGCCTGCACGACGGTGCTGGTAGCCGTGCACTTGTTTGCGCTCATGATTAGCACCTGCATCCTGCCCAACATCGAGGCGGTGAGCAACGTGCACAACCTCAACTCGGTGAAGGAGTCGCCCCATGAGCGCATGCATCGCCACATCGAGCTGGCCTGGGCTTTCTCCACTGTCATAGGCACGCTGCTTTTCCTGGCCGAGGTCGTGCTGCTCTGCTGGGTCAAGTTCTTGCCCCTCAAGAAGCAGCCGGGCCAGCCGCGGCCCACCAGCAAGCCCCCGGCCCCCGGCGTGGTCTCCAACGTCAGCACGGGCGGCATCACCCCAGGCCAGGCCGCCGCCATCGCCTCTACCACCATCATGGTCCCCTTTGGCCTGGTCTTCATCGTCTTTGCTGTCCACTTCTACCGCTCCCTGGTCAGCCATAAGACGGACCGACAGTTCCAGGAGCTCAACGAGCTGGCTGAGTTCGCCCGCTTGCAGGACCAGCTGGACCACAGAGGAGACCACCCCCTGACACCCGGCAGCCACTACGCCTAAGCCCGCCTGGGCCCAGGCACCTCCCAGCTTTGGCCTTACACCCTTCCCTACAAGCTTGTCCTGCCCCAGCCTCAGGACAGCCTGCACAGGGTGTGGGCTTTTGCCAGGGGACAGAAGTGGAGGGAAGAAGCTCTTTTTTAAGGAGAAATTACTGCACTTTGAAACTTTCCTCTTAAGAGAATAAGCACCTCCTGTTCTTCCAGCTCTAGGTTCACCTCCCATTAGGAGGCCGCCAATGGGAGCCAGAGCCGGGACAAATGCTCCCTTTGTCCCTCCTCCTCGCCCATGCCAGTGCCATCTGGATGCTTCCTGTCCTTTCTGTCTTGACCCCGTCCCTGTCAGCGTCGAGTGTGTGCGCGTGAGTGTGAGCACATAAATATACTCGTAAGGGATGCCTCTCGTGTCTCTGTTTGTTGGGTCTGGGCTGCCTGGTATTATTTGTCCTGGTGCCCCAATCAGGTGAGTCTCTAAGTAGATTGTTTTTCCAACATTTTGAAATTTCAAACCTACAAAAAAGTTGCATGAACAGGAACTGCTGAAATATACAGGGTGTCCCCCCCCCCAAAAATACACACTTTAACAGCTGATAGCTCAATTTTGAAAATGAAGTGTATTTTAATAAATACTGTCTTTATAATTATTCAAAGTTTGTGTATACCTTTTTTAGGGGACACCCTATATATACAGTTCATTCTTGTCATTCGCGGCGGTTCTGTTCTATAAAATCACTGTGAATGCTTGAATGAGTGGACACCGAACCATCTCTCCTACGGGAAATAGGGGGTTAGGTTCCTGCGAGCCTCTGGTCACAATATTTCTGTCAACAGATCAGTACGTACCCTTGTTTTATGTATGTTTCTATTTAAAGACACCTTATTTAATATAGTTGATTTATGGGCATTGAACCCAGGATCCACAGAACTATATCGCTCATGCCTGAATGAAGCTTACCTGCCTGACAGGCATTTTCTCCGCTCTGCACATCACAGCCTTCCTGCGCCTCGGGTACAACTTTCAGCACTGCACTTGAGAACCTTTTTAAGCAGCGAAATCAACAAAAAGCACAATACATGAAAAATGTGGCACTAAGTAGACCGTGGAAAGGATACTTGTTTACAGTCTGAGAGCTGAAACAAGGCAGAGGGTTTCCTTATTGACCTCAGCAAGGAGACAGATTCACAAATACAAAAACCGTGAATGAACAGTGTTTTTGCCACTGAGCCCTATGCATTAGTTGTGGATATCATGACCCTTCATGCTTCAATACTTCCTCCAAAAACCAAAGACATTTTACATAACCACAATTCAGGAAATCTGACGTTGGTACAATACTATCTAATAGAACATTCGTGTTCGCTTTTCTACTTGTCTCAATCATGTCCTTTCTGGCAGTGGTTTTTCCAATCCAGGATCAGGGCGTTGCACTGAGTTGGAACAGCCTCTCTTTGTCCTTGTGACATTGATGTTTTTGAAGTGTCCAGATCTGTGGTTTGTAGAATGTTGCCTCAGTCTGGTTTCTCTGATATTTTGTCATTGTTACAATCAAGTTGTGCGTTTTGGCAGCAATATTTGTCTCCATTTTGCGGATGACAAAACTGATGCCCCAAGAGGTTAAGTAATTGGCCAGAATTCGAACCAGGGAAGTCTGGCCCAGAGCCTGGGCATTCACATGCACAGAGTCTGGCTTTGCTTAAGAAATAGGCAGATCCAGCAGTAGTACTGGGCCCACCCTCTTGTAGAGCAACAGTGAGCAGGAGCTGAGTTGTAGCCACCCTCTTCCTCAGGACATGTTTGCCACAGTCCCTACTGCTCCCTCTTGTCTCACACCAGGCTAGCTTCATCTATGCTACTTGACTAGCCCAAAGTCCTCTGGCTAAAGTGAAAATTGGTTGGGGGAAAGTGTAGCCTTAAGTTCTTGTCCTGTGCAGACTTGAACTTGGCCAACAGCAGCTTTGTGGGCTGAGGAGGGGGCCGGGAGCTGTCCTTTTTCCTATCGCAGCTTCTTGCCTTCATCCTGCACCACATGTACCAGGGCCCACCCTGGATGGCCTGGACCAAGTAGGACAATTAGGACAGGCCAGGGGCCCCTATTTGATACCTTCCACTGCTCCTGAGAGAAGACCAAGGCATCTTCCATGCATCCTCCTAAGAGCTCCACCTCCCCACTTCTGCAGAGACCTGGGATCCTGCTGGAATCATTTCTCTGACTGCAGTCTTGTTTTCTTTCCTTAACTTACCTGAACTCAAGAATCACCAGATTGGCTCATAAAATGCAGGTACGGAAGCCCAGGGCCCCTCCCCTGGGTGTGTCTGATTCTGTATTTTTAACTCCAGGGACTCTTAAATCCAGGCAACTTAGGGAAACGCTGGTAGTTAAGAAAAGTCTCTTTCATTTCAACTTTATTCATATTTTGAATGGTTAATATATTCACATGATTCCAAACACACGGTGAAATGTTTCCCTCCCAGGTTCTCAGTTCTCCCCAGAGACAATGATGTTGTTTTTGTTGTTTAAATGTTTTTATTGACTTGCGAGAGGGAGAGGGAGAGGAAGGGGGAGAGAGAAAAAAACATTGAGAGACATTGATCAGTTGCCTCCCCCCCCATGAGGAATCCAACTGGCGACCTCGGTGCATGGGATGACGCTCAGGCAACTGAGCCACAGCGCCAGGGTGAGACAACCATTACTGCCAGTTCACTTTATTTCCCATAGATAGTTTATATATAAACCAGCACGCACACCCTACTTTTTCTGAAAAATGGCAGCCTGAACACTGCCACTGTTCTGTACCTTAAGAGCAGACAGACCTACATTTAAGTACAGTCACTTTCTACCTTGGTGACATGTGAACCTCCCTGCACCTCAGTTTCTTCTTCTAGAATGGCACTAACTACAGCAGAACACCTCATAGGTTGTTGAGGGGTCGTGGGAGAGGACATGTAAAGCTGTCAGCGTAGGACCTGGCACCCGAGTGAGCACTGTCCCAAGACGGCCAGGCTCAGCTCCTGGTGTCAGGGTACATGCCTTGGGTCAGGCCACCGTTTGTGATGTAGAGGCAGAGAACCAGTGTCAGTGAGAGTACTGAGCCTGCACTATGTGCCAGGCGCTTGCTGAGGCCTTTATTTCAGGGTTACACAGTGAGGGAGGGCTGAATCATTGTTCCGCAGAGTGTTCACACTGTAGCATGTTCAGCAGGATCCCCAACCTCTACGCACTAAGCGCCAGTAGCATTCTTGCCAGCTCTCTCTCTCTCAACCAAAAATGTCTCCGGACATGCCAAATTTCCCCGGAGACAGGATTCCTTGTTTAATCCTCACAGTAACCACAACCACCCTGGGTGGTAAGTACCGTTATTGCCCCACATTAGAGGGGAAGAAACCTGGAGAACAGAGAGGTTGGGTGATGTACGCAAGAACACACAGCTGATAAATTATGCCAGGTTCACACCCAGGCGGTCTGACTGCAGAGCTTGTGTTCTTGCTCATTATGTAAGAGGCCCTCTTATCGCGCAGGAATGTTGTCTAGATGAGAGCCATGCAAAGCCCTTCCAGATATCTGCGTCACAACCAACCTCAATACATGGTTAGCAACTCAGCACCCCTGTGAGATCTCTCAAGTCCCATTTTACAGATGAGGCACGGAGGTCACTTGCTCGGTCACAAATCCAGTAAGTCGGGGGTTCTTGGCTCCAGCGGTATATTGAAGTCATCTGGGGGAGTTTTGAAGGCCCAGGCTTCACCCCAGACAGATGGGAAACTCTGGGTGTGGAACATGGGCGTCTGTAGCTTTTAATTTTTTTAAATCCTCAGGATATTTTTTCCATTTTTTTTAGAGAGAGTGGAAGGGAGAGAGAGAAACATCAGTGTGAGAGAGACACACCCATTGGCTGCCTCCCACATGCGCCTCAGGGCCAGGGATCAAGCCTGCAACCGAGGTACGTGCCCTTGGCTGGAATCGAACCCGGGACCCTTCAGTCCCCGGGCCGATGCTCTAACCACTGAGCCAAACCAGCCAGGGCACATCTGTAGCTTTTAAAGCTCCCACAGGATTCCAAAGTTGAGAGCCCCTGTGTTAGGCCAAGAAGCTGGGTGGGTTGAACCCCACATCTTAGAGACAAATGTGACCAGATGCAGGCTTTCCCTCTGGAGTATCTCAGAGCTCAGAGGCTGGGAGACACCTCTCTCCCCCCAGGACCAATCCATGCTGGCTATAGCGCCCTCTTCCCTCTTTGCTACCTGAAATCCCTCTTGTGACTCCCCCTGCCCCCCAAAACTCACACCACAGGCCCCAGGCTAATGCCACCAGGTTCTTTATTCTCATGCACTCAGGGATAGGGTCCTAGAATAAAGGCTGTAACAAGAGACTCCCAAAGGCCGGCTAGGGAGAGAAGCATTCGCCCCATTGGCAAAGAATGATCCAGTGCCGGGAGGACGAGGTGTCCTCTGAGGGTGCCAAGGGTGTGCCGGGAATCACCACTCACTCCTCCAGTGCGGGCCACACCGGTCTGAGCAGTTGGGTGACATGGGCTTGACTTTCTCCTGAAACTCTGGTAGTCTCTGCAGGGGCGAGGGGGGG